GGACCTAAGCTGTGCTCAGTGTCATGGTTGTGACTGGGGAGGAGGGGAGGAGGATACGAAGCAAATTGCTAGCTGCCCAGACACCGTCCCCCCACCCCTTCATCTGCCCATCCTTTTGTGTCCTCCAGACTGAACCTCCCCCAAGACTCTCCTGAAGGAGTTCCCTCCCAGGGAATCATCACTGCAATAATACTCAGGAGTATCCAAAAATGGATATCCCATGGAGAAGTCTCTCTGTTAGCAAGGGCCATTGCCTTATTTATCACTCCATGGAGAAGGCAGCATGACTGATGGGTCAGAAATGTCAGCATCCTGGGGCAGCAGGGCATGGACCAGAGTTGCCCCAGGGCCTATTTGCAGAGGACACTGAAATGGACTGCAGGGACAGGCTGGAAAATGTGTGTAGGATCAGCACACCTCAACCTTGGATGTTTCAGAGACCTGTGCGTGGGTGTCAATTCCTTTTTGCAAGGTGCCCTTATGTTCCTCAGTGCTGTTAGACACATGCACTCAGCTACCCAGATCCCACTTCTAGCCTTAAAAAGAGCTTTACCCCACTCCTAACCCTTTCTTGCCACCTCCACGGGCTTTAAACACAACCTGAAGGATGGGCAGGTTGTAGAGTCAAAGTTAGTGCCCAAGGAGATGTTGGATGGTGGGTAGACTGCCTGTCCCACCACACTGGTGGCCGGATCTCCTGTCTTACCTCCCAGCCCTCTGCAAATTGCCAACCGATCATCCCTGGTCAAATATCCAGGTTGCATCAAACTGAAGCAACCCAGGGATGTGTCCAGAATGGCTCGTCCATAGAGGAGATGAAGGAGTAGGAGGCTCTGCAGCAGCCTGAGATGACTATGCCATGCAAGGGAGGAGCGTGGAGCTGAACTCCTCTGAACTGTGCCAGGAAAAGGCTGAAAAGGGAACTGTGCTTCCCAGGTAAGGCGTAGCTCTGGGCCACAGCTTTAGGAATGAGAAGAAAGAAAAGCTAACTTTGCAAAGCCTCCTGCATGCATCTCTGTTACCCTCATTAGGGTCATTAGGGGAATGACTGTTACCCTGCTCATCAGCAGAGAGCAGGACCAAGGCAAGTCAAGGGTCAGCACAGGATGTCCTGGCCTACGGCAGAACTATTAATTCTGATGCATGTTTTCATCTCAAAGTGCCTGAAATAAGGTGTGTTTCAGCTGACTAAGGTGTGTTCCTGCAGCACGAAAGGGACCGTGCAGTGCATAGCCCAGGTCATGGTGCCAGGACCTGGGTGCCCAGTGGGACAAGACCTGCTGAGACAGCTTTGGGAGACTGGACAAGGGGTGAAGGATCCAGCCCTGCTGTAGTCCCTACTGCCCTCCAGAAGCAGCCCTTGGAGTGCATTTAGAGATGTCCTGGGGCTCTCAAACCCAGGGAGAAACATAAAGCTGGTATTACAGCAGAAGCCTTGAGAAGTGGAAACACACAAGTCAGTGTAAAGGACAGGCATGGGATGACAAGAGGTGGGGCACACTGGAAAGCCCAAGGCTATCAGCAGATCACCCATCATCAGCTTGCAGGCCTTGATCTGGATAAAAACAGTTTTAGGGGTAACAAAGAAAAAGTACCCAACACAGAGAAAAAAGCCCCCATATATAGTCTGTTTGGGTGCAATACTGATTTGTGGGCAGATAAGGCAAGAATGTGTGAAGGTATGTCAGAAAACACGTGAATCTGAAAATGGAAGAAGGTGAGGAGAAAGAAGAAATCCCATCAACATCACAATCTTCCCAGGAAAAAGCTTGGATCCCTGATGATCCACTGCCAAGCCCCCTTGCATGAGGAAGTCTGGTGCTGTTGACCTTCAGATTGAGGGAACAGCAGAAAAGTGAGCATAGGACCTGGGAAAGTGGCAGAAACTAGGGAGTGTGTGCCCTGGGCAACTCCTTTTTAGTGCAATAGAGCCCAGGACCAACCCACACCCAGGTATCAACTGAAAATTCCCAACATCACCACCAACTGGACTATGAAATCTTCATGCAAGGCTTACTACAAGTTTAACACAAGGAGTTAGTACCCAGAGAAGCACTTCCACAAGCCTTAAATACTCCTCTGTACATACCACAGCCATAGACTTGGCCATAGTCCTGTCTGGTCCTCTCCTGCATGCTGTAGGATCAACTTCTACTCATCAGTTCTCCAAGGATTTGGCCCGTTTGGGCTTTTCATGCACTCCTCGTTTCCCTTGGCAGATGCTTTCCACACATTGTGCAAGCCATCTTCTGTTTTCCAGCTTGGTCAATCCTTTCAGGGCACTCCAAGCCTTCATCTTCTAAACCCCTGTGACCCAGCATGCATACCCTGTTTCCTCTCTTCCCCTACCTTGCAGATGTTCATGCTTTTACCCCACTGTATTTATCACATCGCTCAGCCTGTTTCCCTCTGGTTGGCTACCTATCTATTTTCCTGGTACTTCATGAGCAGGATTGTCCTGCCAACACATGGCAGGGTGCTTGCATGGGGTCTTGCTTGACTGCTTTGTAGTCCCATACCACTTGGTTTGACACGAGCTGCACTGGTGCCCAGTGCTTATTTCTATGACCAGAGCTTCTTAAACCTCCTGCCAGCAGCCTTCTGCATGGCTGACTCACACCTCCGCGCCCTCCAAGCTCTTCACAAGAAGCCTCTGTCCTCCGAGAGGCTCAAGGAGACTGATATCCAAGGACACAAGGCACAGGAGAGTGTTTGGAAATATAGCAGATGGAAGAGATCATCGAGATCTAGTTGCCCCCATACAGATGCATCTAGTGAGCTGTAGGTCCTTTGTCACGTTTGCCAGTCCTATATCAGTGTCCTAGAACTAGGGCACCTCAGATGGCTCGCAGTATCTACATGAAGCCTAAATTGAGCTTTCAGGTGCAGTCTGCAAAACTGTTCAACTTAACCGCTGTAGGG